AGAGAAGCTGAAAGAAAAATGCGGATTAGAATTTTAAAAAGTGTGTGCTCTGCTGCTGTGGAAGCAATACCCATGACAGTGTGCACAGTAGTACCCTGTGAAGTATGACACATCACTCAACCAGTGTGCTAGTCACCCACACATCCCTAAAACCCAACGTGGTACCTGTTTGATAGACTGGCTCTTTGTCAGACTTGAACTGCCTTTGCTGAGGCCTGTATTAGCTTTGGGCAGGCTGGCATTACCCTTGGATATATTGCTATTAACATTTGACTGCTGTAAATAAGCCACAGAAAAGTCTTTGTTGTTAGACAGCTATTCACTCCTAAGAGTTACCATTCCAAACCTTTTAATGCATTTGCAGCAAAGGCCTTAACTCTACAATCCCAGTTCTGAACTCTTGACAGAACACTGCATCGACTTCAGCAAATCTACAATATCCTTCAAGGTCTGTTTTGCTCATTCTTGCCATTAAGATGGACATAAAATGTTCCTGTTATAGCACTACGTCAGACAATGGAGGCAACAGGACTAAAACAATTCAGGTTATTTTTAGTTGTACCCACAGGACAAACTTTAAAGTTAATAGTAAAAAAATTACTGTAAAGCAAAACAGAAAAACCTAGCCACAAATTGACTGTAATCAATTGAGATTATTGTGCTTTAAAGAATATTCCTTCCCTTTTTTCACTAGCGATTGAGAACATTTTACTCTTCATATTTTAAGGCAGAGACAAATTTCTTTTGATACATGGGTTCAAAATTAACGTTAAAGTATAACATTGGAAGTGTAACAGTATGAATGAATTCTCAGTAGCACAGAATCAAGGAGGCCAAGCAGATTTCAGACAAATTGAGTCTCTCACAAGACTGCATTTTTGACAACACAGACTTTAGGAATTAAATAGGTAATGACAACAGCAGTGATTGGGTAAGTGATACGGGAACACCTGTCACTTTATAGCTCAAGGACTATACTCTTCTACCCATAACAGATTAACAAACCACAGCTATTAACTTCATGGAACTGATCTTGTACAAAATAAAGCTGACATACCTTAGTTTTAGAGGACAGTCCTCCTGCTTTGGCTTTTTTGGGATCAGGCTTGGATTCCATGGTATTAGACCCCAAGTCATCAGCAAATGCTAGAGAAACAATAGACCATTTCAAGCTATCTTCAAGCCTATTTTAGGTTATCAATTTTCTGTTCTAAGAACAGAAGAAAAACTGTTCATGGATACAATATACTTATTACACAGATGTCTGAGGATTTTAGACCCACAGAGGAGGTCCCTTAAATTCCATGTTAGCATACAAAGTTCTCATAATTAATATCATACTATGTTAGCAAATTTGTCACTTTCAAAACAATTTACAAATGCACAGACACATACTTTCCAGGCTAATGTCTAGAGCTGTAATTGCACCTGGTCTGAGCAGGCAACCTAGCCCCAGCAGAGCAATAAGACAGGACTGCTTCTTCAAATCACTTGTCCCCTAATCCCATTACCCTCTTTTGCATCAGCACAAGCAATCTGGTAGTCCCAGAGTAAACTACATTGAAGAAGTAGTCTAGATAAAAAATAATGTGAAAACATTTTAAAATCATATTATATTAAAATCAGATTAGTATTACTAAAAGCCTCCCCCTGCAGCCCCTGGGTTTTAACTTCGATACCAAGTAGATATTTTCAAATAGCAGCTGACAGATGGCTGTGTGGAAAGGAAGCACCCTCCTACACTGGAAGCTGATTCAACTGCAAGAAAGGCCAGAACTGCAGACAGAACTCACTAGATTCCACAGTTCTTTGTAACCCTAACTATGCTGAATTCCTCTTCTCCAGCTAAGTATGTTTCTTCCTCTGGAATGTCAAAAAGCTTCAAAACCCACCCTTTTCTCAGATGTTTCCCAGAATATAAGAGAGGTTACCTGACCCAGGTTGGAATTTGGCTGGAGCTGTTCCCCCTACCACTCTGGAAGATGATTTAGCAGGGGGAGCTGGTTTGGCCGGCATGTTGGCTTTGGCTTTCTCAAGCATGGCCAGTACTTGGTCTTTGGAAGTTGGCTAGAGAACAAAAAGGGGAAAAAAGAAGTGATAAATTTAGCAATGACTATCACTAATCTACTAATAAACTAGCCACAGACAAGGAAAACAATAGTAGTTTGAAACAAGCTATTCTCTGTTTACTACTTTCCAGGATGCTTATCTTAAAACATCAATGTTCTCAGATACTTTTGTTCTGAGATAAAACATCTTTTTATTAAGTTTCTTCTGCAAGTCCTATGGGAAACATGTGCAGCAGCAATCTGTTCTAGGTGAGTGGTCCTATGAAGTCAATGGAGTGCCCTACAATTATTCTTCACTCAAGGGTTCATAAGCCAGACCAAACTGCTAGAAGCCATCTGAAAGTATGAGTACAAAAGCATACAATGGGACAGTAACTGGTATGGAAGCTTTCTGCAGGTAGATTTTTTTTTTTCAGAAGGAACGAAGAGTGAATAAATATCAGGCTCTTGAAGTGATAAGCCTGTAGTAGTAGTAATCATTTTTGAAGTAGAGAAAGCTCTAACTCACAGCCTCCTGATACTGTTTTCAGCCCCCCTGAAAATATTTGATGCAGACAAGTTTACATGACTCAGGACAGCATATCATGAGACTGTGAATGTAACTTGTTCATATTCGCTCATTCAAGGTCACATTATCTAATCTTTGTGACAGAAATACCTTCAGCTTGCCAGTGGCTTTTGCCATCTTCTCAAAGCCAAGATGCATCATAAAGAACGGCAGGGCATCCTGTGCCTTTTTGCGCACATCCCCGTTTCGATCTTCAAGGCAGGAGTACAGGTGAGGCACGCACAAGAGTAGGTCAGAAGGAACAGAGCGGAGGGTAGGCAACTTCTCAGCCAACCAACCAAGAAGCTGAAACAAAGTTTTAAAATAAAAGCTTTTGAAGAAGTGCTAACACTGCTCTGTCAAGCCACAAGACTGAATAGTAGTCCCTCACACAACTCTGTGTGAGTAGGAAAAACCCACCGCAAACTTTCTTCAGACAAATATTCATAACTAACATCAACTTTGATGTTAGCAATTACAAAAATAAAAAGTTGAGTACAATATGTTAATACACATCTATCTTAAAACTTGAAGCATAGTCTCTTAAAACTGTAAAGCTTGTTGCTTTTGAAAGCAACAGAATTCCATGTGCTCTTTTTAATGACTCCAGTTCTGTTCCATGGTGAATGTGAGGGAAAACACACTAGCACTTAAAATGCTAATCAAAACAGACAAAAGTTTCATTTTAGAGGCACTGAATGACAGCTATCATGCAGAAAGAAAGCTTGTTATTAGCCTTTTGAGGTTTAACAATTTTATGTCAGTACAGAGACTCACCTACTTGTTTTCCCATACAATTGTAGCATTGTGCCATTTCAGTCTGCATAGATAAACAATCCATAGAACATAAGGTTATTTTGATTAGACAAACAAGAAATTTTTTTGACAGAAGCCTACCTCTTGCCTTAGGAAAGGATTTTCTTTTTTGAGCTCCTCAGACAGGTCTTCCCCTTCCAACCACTCTTTCATGCCAGTTTGTTCAGCCCAGGCATTCACAGTTGCTAATGCAGCAGCACGAACATTATTCTGCAGCAAGAACAAGATTTAAGAAGAATAAACGTAAAGAGGGGTCAGAAGTTTACAACAGAAGAGGCAACAATCAACCTTCCTATGAAAGGAAAAAGCTTTCACATCATGGGCGTTGAAATCTCTTTTTTTATTCACTGCTTGAGAAGTCTAAGATTCAGAAGAATTTGGTTTTAGTGATGGTACCAGCTGCAGCAATTACCAAATCAGACATTATACTTATCTACCATACAGCACATCAATGATTCAAGGCAGGTGGGTTACGGAGCCTGCTATTAGGGCACTCTTATTTAGGACACACATGAGCAAAAGTCAAGTCAGGAACAGGGAAAACCCTCTAACTCCTACCAATTTCCATATTTAGTTTTTTTTCAAGCAAAATTTAGAACAGCACCCTTTTTTGAAAGAACTATGTAAAGTTATGAGAAGCCAGATGGAATATCTAACAATCACAGTTCTTTAAAATGTTATCAGTGTAGACATGACTCTATAATATGATCCTCTACTGCAGGCAGAATTTATGAGGAAAGCTGGTAATGTGACAGATTCATTTATGTTTAGTATAAATCAATATTAAATGTAGAGGTAACATTCAGGCATGTATGTAAATAAGTAGTGAGCATCCTTGCAAATAACTTGGCCCATCTTCAGTCTCATTGAGGAAAAGAAACAAATCATGAGCTGCAGATAAACAGATGCTCATCAGCCTCTCTGGCAAGACCTTGGTTCCCCATCACCCAAATTTAATTTGTCTTCACTCATACTACAAGCTGTTGGCTTTCCTCAATTATTCAGTGGGTCCACTATAAACATAGTGAAGAAGGGTGCAGAAAGGACCATCCTCAACCTCAAAAGCTGGATAACTTTGATAAACTAGTTAAATCTTGCACTTGCAGTACTTAAAAAAATACTACTGTAAAAATGTTCGAATGAGTATACCATCTTCTGTCAGCATTATAGTTCTTACAAGTAACATTGGTATTACTCATTTTAGCAACACTAAGTTAATCACAACTAGTCTCATCCATAAACCATGTACTTTAAACTGAAGTACCAGGCATAGCTTTGAGCAAGCTGCTCTAATCGAAGGTGTCTGCCCATGGCAGTGGGGTTGGAACTAGGTTGGAAGGTAACCCTACAGACCATCTAAACAATTCTATGACTCTGCAAAGGGAGTTCAATGTTACCTCAAGATAACTGGTGAACAAAAGAAGAATTCAACAGTCACATAAAATCTCAGTTCTTGAAGACTCTTAAAGACAAAACAATGTGACCAGGAGTTTTTTATCCAGCCCTAGGACCAGTCCTAGTCCTCCACTGTTTGGGACAGGCAGATCCAGCTTCTGTTCTTTTTCCTACTCACATTCAGAGTAGAGACAGCTGAAGTATGCCACCTCCGATAACTGCCTGTGACCCCAAGACATCGGCACCTTCCCAAACTTCTTTCCTCCACTACTTCAAATTAGCTCTTTCCCATGGCCCTAGCTCTGATCTTGACATAGCATCCTAACAAGCTCGACACTGACATTATACAAGCTTCAGTGTCAGTTGTGAGTGTCCTGTGTCTACCTACAGGTCTCCTACACAGTGAAAAGACAATAACAATGTATACTGGGATCCACAGTGATACACTAAAAGCACCTTTACCAAGCAAACTGGCTTAGTGCCTAAGGTAGTGCACTTGCAGCCTTAGAAAATATGCATACACTCACCACGTTTCATTTAAAAGCCAAATTATGACACTGACTGAGTTTAGTTACAAGCAGGAGACCACAGCTCAAGTAGAATATATATTCAGGTACAAATTCATATTTGGATAATAGGCTGTCATTCAGGCAAGAACTTTTCAAAAAATGTGTAAGCTTCCAAAGAAAGTTTAAACTGCCATCCACCTCTTAAAATCAAGTCTAAATAGCAACAGTTACTTTCAGACATAGATCAGATATGCAAAAAGGCAAAGAGATCTTGACGACTGTCCTACCTTACTATCTCCTAGGACTGTAATGACAGGAATCCCCAAATTTTTCACATGCTGTTTGATATTGGGACCCATTGCTGTTGCTAGCTGCTGAAGAATGCTCAGTGTTTGTTGCACCTGCACATAAAGAAAAAAAGGTTTTAAAGAAAACAGTGTTACAAGCATGTCTACAAAACCTCCAAGTTATATGGGGAAAAGCAACACTGCTGGTTTTTACTTTTTTTTTGACTTTACTAAAACACTAGATTTTTACTAGTGTAAAATGCCTGCTTAATGACACCTATTCCAGACTTCAAATTCATCACACAAATAAATAAAAATATACTTCCATATTCTGAGCAAATTAAATTTCAACTAAAAATATTTTTTTTAACAACAGACAATTCACTTTTGTCAAAAGTGAAGCAATTACTCAAACTTATTTGAAGACTTGCTTACACTACACTCAGAGTAAAGACAGATTTTCCTTTTTTGAAAGGCTTTTTTAAATAAAAAAGAAAGGCAAATATTTATAAAAATAGGCAAATATATGATCTAGAAACATACAATACACTGTTTTCCAGTTGTTGATTTCATGACATTGTAACAGACCAAGTACTAAGCAAGGTTCAGAAATCATAAATAACTGAAGTTCTAAGCTGGAAACAGCTGAAACAGGATTTTGGAAAACATACCAAGATTTTATTGGAGTCATTGAGACGATTCTTCAGAGCAGCTGGAAGTTCTCCTATGTTTGGATGTATGAACTTTGCTTCATTTAATATGCTTGTCACTTCATCTAGACCTTCTTTTCTGATCTTCCAGTTTTTATCCCCAATCTTAGACACTAGTTCAGCTGTGATCTTATCACTGCAGGAGAAAAACAGGTAAAAAGCCCGCTTTCTTAATTATCTATCTATTGGTATTTGAGTGCTTCAATACCACAGATTTCTGCTTACAAAGTTTATAAACACAAAGTTTTGAATTGCAGTGAAAGTAGGTGTTCAGGCTGCAGAATCCAAACCTACCCAATATCTGTTCTTGGCAAGAGATCCACAACATCATTCCCAACTTCCTCTTGTTCTTCTTCCTCACCATCATCCCCACCTCCGGCACTGTGCCTGGAAATGCCACGAGTTGGAGTTGGTGCTGTCTGGCCTTGCATCTGCAAGCAAAGCAAAAATCAGAAACAGTTATTTTACAAGTTTTCATTTGACCTTAAAAATAAAACCCCTTGCATGATACAAATGCACTGGCTCAGGAAGAGGGACTTCTCAAACATTATGCTATTCAAACAAAACTAGGAACTTTTGAAGTTTGTAATGAAAAATATGACTATTGACATAATGACATGCAGCTTTCATGCACTGCCTTAAAAAATCTGGTTCACTTACAAAAACACAGGTTAGACCATAATATTACTACAGATTTCAGCTACTGAAGTCTTAAAGTAGTTTTAATGATACTTGCTAGTAAGAGAGTTACACTTCATACCTTTTCAAATTCTGCATCTATCTGGGAGAGAAGGGCTGGCTTCTCATCCTCAAAAAACATTCGCAGAGGAGGTCCCACATAAAGATACATTACTCCCAGCAACGTAATGGCAGAAGTCCTCACAGCCTGCCAGAAAAAGGACAAAAACACTCAAGTCTTCAGTTTAAGGACTGATAATAATTCAGGATTAATATTCTAAATTTACTCACTGGGTTAGTTGCAGCAAGAGCTGTCTTCACGTTACTGATGAAAGCTTTGACATTCAGTCTGTGGGAGAAAGATTTCTGCCATAAACAAAATGCAACACAGGAAACACCAACAACAAATAAAATCATCACAACATGTTAAAGGAAAAAAAAAATACCTGGAGACAGATTTATACTACTTGCTTATGTGAAGAAGATATTTGCACCTATAAAATATCATCACAGGTATAGTGTAGATAGTAGCTATTTAAATAACTACTGAAACAGAGCAGTTTGGAGAATAGCCTATGAATGAAAATCAATACAGTAAACATATGATAATCTATATCAAAGCCAACTATTATTACAGCTAGAAAGTTCCTTAAATTACATCACCTGCTACATAACTGCTAGGACTGAAATATTGATGAAAGAATTTAGAATAATTTTAAGCACCTGAAACATGGCTACACAATAAAGGGGAGGGTTTACTGTTATTGTGGAGATTTTTTTTGTTTTGTTAGTCAGGCTCAGGATCTTCCAGAAAAAGGCATGAATATGAAAAATAAATTTGCAGGAGACATAAAGGAAGGTTTAGATTTCTGAACCTTCTATACCATCTGTGTAGCCTCAAACAGTGTTGTTCTAGTAGCATATCTACACACAGGTTACCCTGCTGTAAATACATACTTTTTGGGGAATTTGCCAAAGAAAAGAGTTTACTTTCCAGACTTATCCATTTAATAGCTGCAAAATACCTTAAGACAGGCATTGTAACTACCCAATTAGTCAAATTGATACTTGAAGTCTTCACTGCTTAGAAATCTTCTTCTCAACAGTACACTGTATTAGGTATGTTTGATCACATTCAGTTAAGAAATCAATAAAAATTTAAGAATACTATCCCTGGTTCTGATGGAGAACCCATTTCTTACCCTCACAGAGGCAGACATAACTGCTATTGTGTTGGCTAAATCTTCATCCTGTTATCAGCATCAAAATGTCTCCCTGGAGAGTAATAAGCACTCTTCTGTAGCTGTCAGATTTGGTTTTGTTTTTTTTTTTTTAACTATAAAACATAGTGAACCACCTGGGTGCAGGTGTGTATCCAAGCAGTATAACAGAAATGCAATGCTATAGCTCCTTGCCCAGCCCACACCTATAGTACCTTAAGAAAAATGCTCCTCAGAGAAGGTCAAGTGATCTTGTAACGTAATCACATCCCATTCCACTAATAATGTCAGATACTTTCATTTACACAATTAGAGCTAAAAGAGCACCTGATGGCTGGCATCAGAGTTTAAGGAACAAGAGTTCAGATGAAGAGAATCTTAATCCTAGATTACAAATATTTTCATTAGAGTGTCTCTTAGCAATTTACTGAAAAGACTTACCCAGAAAAGCCAAACTCTTTAATTGCATTTGAAAGCCAGTTCAAAGTTTCTGACTGGTTTTTAGGATTCTTCTGAGAGAAAGCCGTAGCCACAACCTGGAACAGAAGAGAGTTAGGTATAAATTTTCACTGACAAACCAGATGACAAAGCATTGTAATAACAAAGACACCTGCAAAAAACACAGGGCACTGCAAGTGAACAGAAAAGGCTGGACTAACATCGGAGAAAAAAGCAATTGTATTGCTGTGGTAGAAAACAATTGGAACTGAAGCGAACCACAAGTTCCTGACGTACTTAAAGGCAGCCAGAGACACCTTTATTACAGACTGCTCTGGCAGTATTAAGAGATACTAGTGAATTACTCCTTATTACTGATATTGGAAGATCATTGAACACATCCTCCTAGATGTGTGCTAAGGCATATGGAGGACAAGGAGGTGACTGAGATGGCCAGCACAGCTTCACCAAGAGCAAGTCCTGACTGACCAAACACCATAGAAGGCCTTCTACGATGGAGTAACTACATTAGTGGAGTTACAGATGCCATCTATCTGAACTTCTGTAAGGTCTTTGACATGATCCCCCACAACACGCTTCTAAATTGCAGAGAGATGGATTTGATGAGTGGACTGTTGTGGATAAGGTATTGGTTGAACAGCTGCATCCACAGGATAGTGACCAGTGGCTCAGGGTCTTGATGGAATCAGTGAGGAGTGGTGTCCCTCAGGGGTCTGTACCGGGACCAATGCTACTTAACAGCTTCATCAACAACACAAAGGGATTGAGTGCACCCTCAGCAAGTTTGAGATGAACCATGTTGTGTGGTGCAATCAACATGCCTTAAAGATGGGATGCCACCAGAGGGACCTGGACAAGCTCAAGAAGTGGGTCCATAGGAACCTCATGAGGTTCAACAAAGCAGAGTGCAAGATGCTGCACCTGGGTCAGGGCAACCCGTGGTATCAGTAGCAGCTGAGGGGGAGAGAAAGAGTAAGAATGCAACCCTGACAAAGAAGATCTGGAGGTGTTGGTGGACAAGAGGCTAGACATGAACTGGTAATGTGCATGTTCATCCCAGAAAGCCAGTCATGTCTTGGGCTGCCTCAAAAGCAGCGTGGCCAGCAGGTCAAGGGAAGTTATTCTTCCCTTCTAGCTGGTCTTCCGAGACCCCACCTGGAGGACTGCATCCAGCTCTGGGGTCCCCAGCACAGGAAGGACACAGACTTGATGAAGCAACTCCAGAGAAGAGCCACCAAGATGATTAGAAGGATGGAGCACTTCTATGAGGAAACACTGACAGAATTGGAATAGTTCAGCCTGAAGAAGAAAAGGCTCCAGGGTGATCTTATTTGCAGCCTTTCAGTACTTGAAGGGGGCCTACAAGAAAATTCTTGACAAGAGCATGTATTGATAGGACAAAGGGGAACAGCTTTAAACTGAAAGGGAAATTGTGAATGCCCCATTCCTGGAAATGTACAAGGCCAGGTTGGATGCGGCTTTGAGCAACCTGGTCTAGTGGAAGGTGTCACTGCTCATGGCAGGGGAGTGTGGACCTAAATGACCTTTAAGGTCCCTTCTAACTCAAACCATTCTATGATTCTATTTCTGCTTTTGGAGTAACATACCTTCTTCTACCTCACAAGCTCTCTCACAAACAAATAACTTTCAAGCAACAGAGAAAAATCAAAGATTGATATTCACTCCTCGGATGGAAAGGACACTGCTTACTCACCTGCTCAGCAGTCCATGGCAACTGACATGCTTCTGCTATTGCTGTCATGGCTTCTTTTGCATTACTCCCACATTTCACATCGCCGACCTTGTCTACAAGACCATCCAGCACAACCTGTGCTGAAGTTTTGGAGAAGTTTCCTTTTTGTGCAATCAATGCAACTATATGCAGCTTCATTTGCATCACCTGGAATGTCCACAACAGCAAGAAAGTTACTCATGTCTTTGTGTATTTTAGAGTGATTTTTTTATTCTTTCTACCTATAGATACATATAAAAATTAGATGTATTTGGGGATAAACGCAAATGTATACAGACATTTTATACGCACACATATTTTTGTGTGATTATGCACAAAAATTTGTGTGCACATGCAAATGCATATTGTTATATTTATATATACAAAATAACACTTGGCAGCCGTTATCTACTTTTAGAACTTATATATACACACACATGTAAATTCACACACATGTATGTACACACATCCAGAGAATGTTTGAAGATATCCAAGTCTCAACTGTCAGCAGAAATAAAACTTAATTTCAGAGTTTATATGTCTCACTGACTACAGATAGAACTGTGGCCATGGTGCTATGACTATCACCAACGACATATGCACCTACAGCCTTTTAGTTGGAAAAATAGCTCACGTTAAGTAACAAAAAAATGAGCTGTTAGTTACTGAAGGATAATGTATTACCTGAAAATTCGTTTCCTTCCAACCAGGTTTCTTGGCCAGCATTCTTACTAGAGCTTGGCAAGGCATTTCACTTCTCTCCATAAGCTCAACAGCCTAACAGATAAACATTAAGTTAGCCAGTGGGTCAAAAATTATACAAAACTCAAACAGAAGTTCTCAACTGTCCTCTAAATAATTTTCTTAATACTGAATTAAGTTGCAGAAATTCTCAGCGTAAGAATTTACCTCAAGAGCCTTACTACAAGACCCACTTTTACAAGGAGCCCATTTACAGGGACCGAGCCAACATTTAAACTATAGCATTTGCATCACTACGCTTTATATGTTCTTTAACAAATATCCTTAATGACCACTATTGGCCATTCCAGCCCTAAGAATTTAACATTTAACTAAAAACAAACAAAAATCCCCAAACAACCCACCCATCCCTCAAAAAGCTATTTTTGTTTTTTAAGATTAAATATATTGTGCACCTTTCACATTGGAATGCTGACCACACAGCAGAGATTCAGTCTGAATGAATGTAATCTAAATTACTGTTTTCTACTTGTTGTTAGGCTTATTCATTCAACTGAAACTGCTATATCTTTACAATTGAATAAACCTGGCTTCTGTAGCAGCATTTCATTGCAGTCAGTCACCATTTCCTAACTGAAGCTAGCCACCTCTTCTACTAAAATATTAACATTCAGTCACAACTGTAATGGTGTAATGCTATGAACTACTTGTACATCTACAGTCGAAGCATTTTTGAATTTGAACTCTCAAAGGTCTTCTGATGGATACCATTTGAGTGAGACGTGATGCTTTTTTTGTTTGTGACTACATGAAGCACTCTCCAACACTGTGATGATTGTTAGTATTGTGTAAGGCTCCAAACATGAACTATTTACCAGTTGAAATTTTTAATTATAATCAATTGCTGCCTAACATGCAAAAAGCAGGAACGTATTTTCAACAGATTTAGCCTATTCATTGCAAAACCTTTTGTTTAAACCTAGCTATCTTTGAGATCAAGCTTTAGAATTATTTGGAGTTTTAAAAAGACTTCTAAGAATCCTCAATCAAAATACAAGTATTTTTGACTAAAGTGTAACTATCTACATCAACCTAAAATACACCACTGTTGTTATGGAACTTAAGCCATAATAAGGCACTTGGCTTTTTCGAGTATTGCTGAATCCATCTGAAGTGCTGACATACCACTACTACTAGCATGTCTTTCAGGAGAGTTACCAGGCCTCAAGAGCTGAAGAAATTATTATTCACTTTTGCTTTTCCTACTTGTCTGTCTTCTTACTAACTGTTACATACTCACCTTTTGAAACTCCTCCATGCAAGCAAGCCTCTCTTTCCAGTTACCACTGTCCAACTGCTGGATACAAGAAGCTGGAAGGACAGCAGCAGCTTTCTCTTCACATACTTCCATCTGCAGACAGATGAGAACAAGGTTAACACCCCACTGTATCCTTTCAGGAGGGCAGCAGCCTTAAGGACAGGTGATATACTGGAATGACCCTTGTACTGTAGTGCATTTACAAAATATGAAAATGCTTCTGTTGTAGGTTGAAAGATTTTGTATGGCTTGCAGTTTAGGGGCCTTATGGGTTTAGGAAGCTGCTAAATTGTACTGCAAGAGAAAGGTAATCTCTGAAAAGGATAAGTTGTGCACACAGTCAAAAATAATCTGGAGTACCCACTATCTAGTTATAGAATCAAGCAGAGGTAACCTAAAATCTGCAAGATAATTTTGTATCAAGTCTGAATAAACACTGACAGCAATGAATCAGTAGCTGATGAGGGTAGATGAGAAAAAGACACCATCTGCCTCCATTTTAGGAAAATGGAAAATTAAAGTTTTTATTACTAAATAACTTCCCTTGTTTCACTGGTGTCTGCATCACCTTCAGGAACTGTATACTTTTTGTCCACTGCAAAACTAGCAATATAACCTGGACACATAATGGAAATTATTTATTCTAAACCACACTCTAAGCATAACTCACAGTGCAAAAAACTTGCAGATACATCTAGCAGAGCTTTAATAGCTTTTTCTGTTACTGTTTGACCTACAGATACCTTAGCTTACCTTGTTCCCTACCAAGAAGGTAGGTAAATGCTCAACTAACATGGAGAATTCAGTCATTTTCTTGAAATGTAACTTGAAATGTAATATGAACAGCCCAGAACAGACTTGCATTAGTTCATTTAATTATTACTGTATTTCACTTCAGATTTTAATGTAAATTCCAGAAGAATGTATTCTCAGGCTTTTAATACCAAACACCTTCAGCAAATCATGAGTCCTAAATTACATATGAAGTAGTCACATCATTACTTTTTTCATTTTTTCCTAGTTCAGGGACAATGATATACCCTGTTATATTAGCATGATTTACTGCTTACTGTTTTAAATGGCCTGGTACCAACAACAGCCTGAAGAACAACTGTATTTACCAAAGATCCATTTCACCAGTTATGAATTTATCCATATCACTTTCCCTTCTCCTAACAAAAAATTCCCAAAGCGAAACAAAAAACCCACCACCACCAAACTCTCCCCCTCTCCAACTTCAGTGAAAAATTTTATAGTAACCGCAGAACTGATTACCAAAACTGTAATCACAGAGGACTTCATATTTCAGAGGACAGCAGAATACTCACAGATAGCTCTGACTCAAATATTTCTTTGGTCTCAGGACCCTTCTTGCCTTTAGCCCCAGCACCTCCTGCACCTGCAGCTGTAGCTGGCTTGCCTTTCTTGGGTGGGACCCCAGACTAGAAAGATAATGGATAAATTAGCCAAGATCAAACATGTCTCTAGTTTGACTATCAAAAAGAATTGCTGTTTTTCCACACTTCTATATTTTAATGTCAAGAAAATACGTACCTCTTTGGTAGCATAACAGCCACAGTCAAAACAGTTTTCTGCTAAAGCTTATTTAATTTAACGTTGCTTTCAGACTACAGGTTTTAGCAAACACATACAGTAAAAACAGGGATGCACAAAACAATGAAGGATGAAATGGGAAAGGATGTATGTATTTGTGAGGTTCAGAAAATAATTAATTTATCTATAATATCTAATCAGTATCCATAGGAGAATATAAACTTGTAACTGGTTCTCTTTCCCAGGTTACCAGAGTATCAATAGATTTCAAAAAACGTGATTTATTCCACCAGTCACTTCGGGGAACCCACATGGAGAACTGAGTAGCATATTACAAAGACCACCTATGGTGCTACTTAAGTAAATTTTTAAAATCCAAAGAATAATTTTAAAGAAATATACGCTAATGGTTCAAATTATTTAAAAATAAACAAAGGAACAAACTAAAAATGTTGCTGAAGAGAATACTCAATACTTAATTAGTAACCTTGCTAGTTAAAGAAGAGATGTTGACTTCAGCCAAGTACTACTATATCACCAGAGAGCACATCAATGTTACAACATCTGAGGCTCCTCTGAATGCCTCCAGTGGTTTATCACTATTTCAAAATCAAAACCTGGTATTAAGACATCAGTGACAATACAGTTTGTATCATTAAAAACTGACATTTCATCAAGTATATTCTCAGAAAGTCCCAAATTATTTTTGCTGATAGGCTCACCTACTCCTGCAAAAGGACAGTGATACTTCAGCAGAAGGGGATGTTCAACAGTCCACCCTTGATCTACAGTAACTATTTGATGCAATCACAGATAATCTCCTACCTTCACAGCGGATGCTTTTTTCAGTGGTCCTGCTTTAGTTGCTGCATCTTTTGTTTCTTTATCTGCCCCAGGCCCGGGAAGAGCAGCAGTCTTTCCAGCAACAGGCTTGCCTTCTCTTTTCTCAGCAGCTCCTCCTGCCTTTTTACCATAAACCAGTTCTACCTTCTCAGCGCACTCTTTAATCTGCCAAGCAGCAGGAAAAGCAAAGGGGAGGGGTGAGAAGCTATTTAGCTAAGACAATTGGATGTACAGTGTCCCTTCAGTGTTTCAAACTTGATTACTCTGGAAAAAATGTGAGAAGTTCAAGTTGTTTACTTCACAAAATTGTTATCCTGTATTCCTTACAATAGCAAAGTTAACCAGTCAACGGCATCAGCCATGACTGTATTGCCAGAATAATTTTCCTAGTTCAAAATGAAATGCATTTCTACACAGAGAGAGCATTGACATCCTACTGATATTTAGAGATACTCTGAAGACTAATTTTTAGCACCTTAAATTACAAAATCTTCATTCAGTCAACACACCTGTCAGCTTATGCAAAAGTTCCAGCAACAAAGTTGTTGGAAAGTAAGTCTTTAATACCAAATCCTGTCTAGTAATATGATTGTGACCTAAAACCCTGTTTCAGGCAACAAAGTGTTCAAAAACAAAGCCCCCCATACAACCAACCAAAACCACAACCAAATCTCACAACCCACTCATAGATAATACAGCCTTGAAAACAAACAGATACTTAACATAATTAACATAAGAATAAGGTGCAATGTTACAAGTATTAGTGCATTTTAAGGAGAAGTAAAAAGCTTGATAACCTAGAAGAAATAAGATTTTCAGATTCCCTTCAACATCAGTAGTATTTAAGTAAAAAATAAATTTAAAAAAATCTTTGTTAGAAGTCACTAGGCTAAAGCATCCTCTTTCATCCTCTCTAGCCTAAGATGCATCCTAAATGGATAAATATGAAGCCTTTTTTTACAACATTTATAACAACACTCACCCGATCAAGCTTTAGTTTGTCTACATCTGCTAGAAAAGGATTCACAGCTTTTTCTCCAGCCACCTTCAAGGCAGTGCCTAATGCTTCAAATCCAGCATCTCTTACTTCAGGAGCAGAATCATTGATATGCTGCAGAGAAAGACAACTTGTGTCATGTGACTTGCAGTTCATATCTAAATATCTTCTACATAAATCCCCTCCCCTTTTTTAAAATCTACATCTACTACGGAGTAATCCTTAACACTCCACTGCAGAAAGAAAAAGGTTTTCCTATGTACTGACCAAGTCTACAGTTTCTAAGATACAGTCATGTTCCCATCTTTGGGCCTTTCACACAAGAAGAGGTTAAACATTCATGCTTTGATACTGAAACACCATGAAAGTTCACAAGGAGTTAAAAGTTCTGCAGCCTTGTTCGAATCTCCATTTTTTAAGCCAGGGAAATCTCCCATAACAAGGAAAGGACTATTTTGCAATAAGAAAAAAGTATGTATAATTATCATTTACATTGGTAAATGCTCCTGTGTCAATGCTGTGTATGAATCAATGGTTCTTTTACTCACAGTAAGTGGTATGTAGCATTCCAATAAAATCTTGTTAGAAATGTCTGCAAGAAGCAAGTGTCTGGAAGTTTATTAGTTGCAAATCACTGTCTTAACCTATTACAAACTTAGTGAGTCTACAGCTTCAGAAAAGCTAAGAAAAAGGAAATTAAATTGTTCCCTTGACTGACAGCCACCTTCAAGTTCGACATCAGTCAAAACTGACTCTGAGGACTATGTAGCACTACTCCTTGCACTACCAGAAGGGTCCTTATCCCAGAACAATCCAATGCTTCAGAACAACAGTGCTCAAGTCAATAACAGAGAAGTATCAACTCTTCCTGCCTTACCTTGAGAAGTGCAGCACAGAAAGGTTTTAACAGGCTTTTTGGTAGAGTAGAAGGTGTGCAGTGTCGGAAGCTTCTTGCAATGAAAAGGGATGTTTGTTGCTTAATTGTTGGGTTTTTGTTGTCCATGACTGCCAAAATATCTTCACTTAGGTTCTGCAGTGTGGTCTACAATGTTGAATAAACAAGCCATAAGTTTCAGTAAAGACAACAGCAAATCAGAAACCAATTCTCAGACAATGGGAAAATTTCCACTCTTACTTACTGTAAGAAAGATTGCATCAATGGCCTCCTGAAGTGCCTGCACTACCTGAGGTTTCTTCTCTTTAAATTTCTCCAGGATTGTTGGAACAACCTATGGAGAAGGGAAACAAACAAAAACATCAATCCCCTCTTCACTAATATAACTGCAAAGCCTGAGAGTCTGCTCCCTGGTACTTTGCAGAGAAGCCAGTAATTCAAACATTACTGCTGTCTCCCTCCAGGGCTACACAACAGCAGAATGAACTAGTTTATTCTAGTGGGTCTCCAATACTAAATTTATTCTAGTCACTACTAACAGGTAAAGATTTTGTTAAAAATTTCACAGTACAACTAAACAGAAGGTGGACATACAAGTCCATATAATTACAGATTAATGCTCCAGCTCTACTGGTCTGGAATACAGAGCAATAGAATGGAAATAAACAATTTCACAACACAGAAGTACTGTGCTCTTTTACTATAAGAATCCAAAAAGGCATAACCTGTCCTCTCTTTCCCAGCTTTCTGACAGCCCTAAGCATGGTTCATTGAGAAGTCCTCATCTGACCCATAGCTGACAAGACCATGATTCTAAAGCAAAGCGAATCCTCTGCAGAAATATTTTTCATACCTATCACCTTGTAAAAGCACACCTGACACTAAACTATGACATACTGGAATTTGACAGCAATTTCTACCTAATGTAGGTGCTCAGTCAGTCACTGCTGAAAAACAAACAAATAAAATATTCAAGGAGAAAAAAAAATAAAAATAACTATTCAGCAGACGTTCTCGTTTGCCAGTAATATGAGCAGGTCCATTAAAGTATGGTCTCCATAACAGTAAGAACTTCTGTCATGAGCCAGAAACACACATATCTTAACTGTGGAAGGCAGGTTATTTTCAAGATTTTCATACATGTAACAGTTCATAGCTTGGAAGCAGTTGAGTGCCTTACAGAAGTTATAAGCTCTTGCATAACACAAAATAGATTTCCTTTCTCCTCAGAAGCCAACTATGTGATCTCAACCCCCTGTAACACACAGTGACTAAGCTCATGTGGTATACTTTCTTGGGCTGCAGCTTCCAAATTCCCTGTTCAGAGACTTCAGCACTCAAAAAACTTCAGTTAACACAGATAGCACTGTAAAGGCCCTTATACTTGCTATTGCAGATGCTAGACACCCCTAAACCCTACAGAGAATAAAGTCAAAAAAGGAGATATTTAAAATCATTAAGCCTCTATTTTAGAAAATGCTAACAGCCAGAATGAGTACTTAGAAGCTGTGTCCCATGTGAGAGGAAGGGAAGAAAAGACAGTCCAGGGCTACAAATGCAGTCAGAGGTGAAGCTGAGGCACTCAATTACAGTGAGCAGTATGATTCTATTCATGATTTCATCTCTTGTTTGAGCACAGACTGCATACTACTATTACAGCCCTATATTTAACTAATACAGTTCATAATAATCCCACAATTGTAGCAACAATTCTGTTTTATAACACTTCAATGCCCACTCTCAGGAGAAGTTACATCTTCCTCACAAGTAAATAAATCCAGCAAACAAACAAAGTGAACTGCAAAATGAGTACTGAGATCATGCACTTCATAGCTGCCATTACAGTACTGACAAAGTCATCTTCTCAATGCCATTTGCTTGGCAACCACAGCGACACCCTTATTTTAGAAGCTTGGCTTTTTTCAATACTAACTGTAGCTATGAGGATTAACCATTAGAAATCAAGTGTAAACAGATGTAGAGAATGCTTCTTACAACTACAGACAGCTTTCAGAATCACAAAGAGTGTCTAAACTGTTGTTCAGAGTTCAGGAGACTTGGATGTTTCCGAAGCAGTGAAATTCAGTAACTTCCCAATTCAAATACAAACACTACCAGCAGCCAGGCACATCAGTTCTCTCTGTCTCTAAGCTCTTAACTCCATCACTCTTGCTTATCACATGAAAAATTTGATTGAGCAGCTTAAGAACACAGTAACAGAGGCTTGAGAAACAAGTGAGAACTGCAACTTATAAAAGCTCCCTTTGTTTGGAAGTTTTCCTGTATTCCCTGATATTAGCTGTTGGTAAGAGATGAGCAGCAAAGGAGAACAAAGAGCACTACATTAGATGACTAGAACATTTTGGTACCAAAAATCTCAGAAGTTTTGGCTACCTAAAGCAGACAAAAAAAACCCCAAACACCAAACAAAAAAAATCCAACAAAAAACCAAAACCAAAAACCAAACAAAAACCAGACAACAAAGAAACAAAACACCCACCACCTACCTCCCCCAGCATTCAAAAAAATCTAAGCAACATAAAACACCGACCACAGAGCTGCTAAGTAGAACTCTGATTCAGAAGCTATTTTTTCCACTGAGGCCTAAAAATGCATTTCTGTGGGTGTATCTCGAGGATGAAGTAAAGTAAATAAAGTTCATTTCATGGCAGAATAATTCAGAATTTTCTTAGTACAGAAGATTCATATTGCAATAGAAAACTTCACGTTGCTGGATATGAATAAAGAAGGTCCTTTCAAACTTAAGCCGCAAAGACCTTGGCAGGTATTTCAGTGCTTGCTCCTTTAAGGGGTAGGTAAGCATTCATAATTGTATTAAGAATACCTGTGAAAGTACCAAAAGAAAAAAGGTGTCCAGGATCAATAAAATCAGAAAAAAGTACATACTCTTACTTACATGCCCTGCATACTGTCCAAATTTCTTTCGGAGGCCAGTAGCTAGTCCAGAAAGGCATTTGGCAGCCAAAGCTACTAACATAACATTTGTATCCTTTCCAACAACCTGAACAGAAAAAAACCCAAACAAACAATGTTAAAGACTGAAAACCCAAGTTTTAGAGACATGGAAGAATTTCTCCACATAGCTGGTGGGCCACAGATTGGGTTATTTCCACCACTATTCCAGCTAATACTTTTCTACTCAGGAGTACTGCCTCAACTGTAACTTTTAAACTATAATACAAATTAATTACAAAAAATATTAATATATATATGAGCACTCCGGGTTTTATTTATTACCTTTTTGAGAACTTTCACCAAGTCTGCATAGTCTCCTGATTCCAACTTCGGATTTTTCACTAATAGTTCAACAGCCTCTAGAGCTTCTTTCCTTTCTTGCCACTTTTTTGCTTCCTGTAGAGCAAATAATTTACATTAACCTATAAATGTAAACAGTTCTAGAGAAGCATACTTGTCCCAAACCATAGATTAAAGATTTTAATTCCATCCTGAGAAAACCAAGATCTCCCTGCAGTTCAACATCAGCAATTGCAATGAAATACAAACTCCAATCCTTTCCCAGGACATATCTCAGCTCCTTAAAATTACTTCTTTCTTGCTGCTAGACTCAATTGTGAGACTCATTTATGAGTGTATATTTCACTTACACTAGCTTGTAATTACCCATGCAGCACTAAAGCATACATTGCAGAATGTCTGCAAGTCTTAAGACTCATCAGCTCCACGTCATAGAATTAACAGGTAGTATTTAAGTTTATGCTTACTATTTTCTCATAGAAGTCTTTGGGAAGCTTGGAAAGAATTTCTACAGCTTCAAGCAACTCATATGCATCTACTTGTGGTACCGTCTCTTCCTCATCATCACCTCCTGCAACCAGGAGAGAAAAGTATAAGCAGAGCGACGCAAAATTTTGACTAGAGCACCACCTAAGGCTCATTGTTCAGAAAGTGCTGTCAGCAGTTGTGATTTCGCTATTTTAAAGGACAGATATTATTTCATATCAAGCTTCTGTCCCAGACATGTCTTGTGTAGTGCACCCTGTATGTTTTGCACCAGTCTGAGTAAAAGCTCCTTTACAATTTAACACATTCCTTCACAATCTGTATACCAGTAATATACTTTTCAATAGAGTTCAGAGATTAAACAGTTTACCTCCATCTGTATCCCCTCCAACTGCCTGCTGCTGCTCAAATTTTGCCTTCAGCTCCTGTTGGGAACGTAGGAACCTGGTCTGCCTAGGAACAGCTGATGACACTTTGATCCACTCTTCTTCCAGTTCTTTTAGCTGCCGAAAGGGAAAAGAATCATCATATTGGAGACATTATGCACACTCTCGAACACAAGCAACTTATTACATTTTTCCCATCTCCAAGCCAAGACAGCACTACCTTTAAGTTCATTTTTTGCCATTAAAGGAGTAACTTCCCCTTCACATTCGCTGTTCAGAAGATTTTTGTCTAAGTATAACCACAGAACAGAATACTATCAATGCAAAACATTTACCTAGGAACCAATTCTAGAACAGTCAGAATGGTGTGGTCCCTCTGTAGAGGCTTTGAAATAAAAATGGCTGAGCATGAAGGAAGATCTCCATTATGGCCATGCTGTTATCACACACTAAAACTAAGATGAAACAAACATGCTCAGCTACTTTTGATAAAACAGTGTAGGTTTTTATAACCATGCATTTTTACAGCAAGCTACTGTTTTCCACCTGAACACTATTAACTGAAGTGGGTAGGAGGGAAGGATGCATAATTTATAAAGTTTTAAAACAATGGAATGTTCTATCATAATGCAATGCCACTTCCTGAAATGGAACAGTCACACCCTGAACACCATCACAAGTATGAAGGGATGCACTTTGATAAAAAAGAAAACCAAGAATGATAATGGTTGACTTAAAGACTTTCAGTGCAGGGGTCTTTTATAGGGCAACCGTTCTACTACTCAATTCCACTCCTCAGTTTCAATAGGATGCTCAGAGCAACAAAACATTGTTACAATTTCCTTACAAAGAGTGACTAATATTTTGGGTAAAGTTACAGGAAGCTAAAAAATACATTCCAGCTTTAAGAAGGTCCAACACTACAGAATCAGGGAGGGTGAGCATGGAAGTGTTCTATCAAATGCCTGGATACAGAACAACTTTCTGCCTACCTGAACAGAATTTATGTTCTGCAATGGAGGTCTCAAAGCATCCCTTATCCAACGGTAGATCTCCACAGCAAGGAGCTTGGCTTCATCTCGAACAGCCTTTTCCCGAGATTCAAAAAGTTTTGGCAATACTTTGATGATTGGCTTCAGTGAGATTATTTTTGAACCAAATTCACTGTAAGTTAAACACATGGAATAGCGTCAGTGTCCAGGGAGAAACTGGGGAGTGATTCACAAATAACTCATTTTTAAAGAAACAATCTATGAAAGTCTTCTGGTGCACATTTAGGGATTGTGTCACTTCTCAAATCATTATTATAGATACTATTTTGTGATGCTACTGAGCTACTGTAAAATTTAAAGAATACTTGCCCCATCAAAATTACCCTCCACACCTATCTTGGAATTATAAAACCAATTCTAAAATTACTTCAAAGTACTTAATCCAAACTGGTGCTTAAATGTGCCCCCTTGACAGGGGCAAGGGAGTGGAGAAAAAAGAAAAAGAAAGAAGCTGTCCTTAGACAAAAATTTGTATGACCTACTTTTTTAAAATCAGAACAGAATCTCCTTTGTCTATCCTTGGAGGCAAACTGCAGTAAAAGCATTAGTCACTTTTGCACTTGTTGGACTAGATAATTATAGGGACCTTGGGTCATCTTCACAGAAAACATACGTGTTGAAATACATGCCACTGGAAGGACCCATAAAACAAGTTTCCCCAGCCAACCACCCTTCCTTGTCAGCAGATTCTACATGTTGTTGAACTTAATATACAGAACTTTCTTTCAGTCACTGACAAATGAGAACACAAGAACTTTCTTTTCAAACTCATGGTAAAGTTAACTGCTATAGTTATTAAGGCATCATATATAAATCACCTCAAAAGCAATAAATAGTTTTGATTCAGAAGCATTTCCTCTTCAGAATGCTGAAGTAACCTTTCTACTAAGCACACTTTCTCTTATGTTTCCCTCCAATCAAGTTCCACATGAAAAAGCTAGTAAAAAAGGCTGCTCAAGAACTAGAATTTATATATCTTACTTTCTAGAAATTCTAGTGCGTATCATTTTATTGCCATGCCCAGTTTGAAAAATATTAAGTATTAAAACCTTTAAGAGAGATCTTGGAAGCAGCAAAATTTAAATGTAGAATATGAAGCCCAAGATTTTTATTTTTGTACCATGACTCAAAAAGAGAGCATACTGGGAAGAGTGCCTATACAAACTTACTCTTAGCTAATTCATATGAGCTAATTTATATAACAATACAAGAAAAAACAGAAACCTTAGCACAAGATAGAAAACATCAGAAGCTAAAGTAGTTCTGCATTCAAGCTACCCACCTAGGTACAACATAGACAAATTTTGTTATCAATGTAGAAAGGTTCTCAAAGCACAAGACAAATTCGGGTAGCAACACAGTTCAGAAACAGAAGATGAAGTTTAAGCCCACAGGGCTCTATGAAAGAATTTGATCTTAACATCAAAGATAATAAAATACTGCACATAAAAAAAAAAGCAGATGCAGCACATTTTATAAGACTGGGTAGTTGAAAGACACTGAGGATGGTTATGCAGGTTTCTAATTACACTGCACTGTTAAAGGACATTTCACTAGATTAGGCAATTTAAAATAGCTAAAATATATTCTTAAATATGGGACAGTAGTTTCACTTAGCAGAAACACAGATAATGTGCTAAGCACAATGCTTTTGACTTTTTAGAGAAGCCTGAAGCAGTTTAACAAGGACTATCTATATATATGCCTCAGCAAGTCCTCTAAAACATACACAAGCATAAGACACTCACCATATACATTATACAGTTTTCACATGAGCTACTTTACTCAGAAAAGTGTTCTGTCCATTAATTCCAAAATTATCTGTTTCCTCTAAAAAAAACCCCTAATGGACGTTGAATTACATATACACCAAGAATTTTATAAAGCTCCAGTATTTTTCACTCAAAGGTAGCAAATACACTTAACATGGAACAAAAAAGGAAAAGAAAAATATTACTGAAACGTACTACCTTATCTTAAATTGGACTTGGTTTTTAGGGAGCATTATCAGCTCTCCTTTTTAATAAAGTGGGGTTCCAAAGGGCTCCATCTTAGGCCCTGTGCTCTTCAAAATACTCATAAATGACTTGGACACAGGACTGGAAGGGATACTAAGCAAGTTTACAGACAATACAAAACTGAGAGGAGCTGTTGAGTTCCTCAAAGGCAGGGAGGCCCTGCAGAGAGACCTCGACAAATTGGAGAGATGGGCAATCACCAGTCATATGATGTTCAGTAAGGGGAAGCACCAGATTCTGCACCTCGAATGGGGCAACCCTGGATGTACATACAGTCTGAGGAATGAGATACTGGAAAGCAGTGCCATGGGAAGCAACCTGTGGGTCGTGGTCAATGGCAAGCTGAATATGAGTCAGCAGTGCCCTGGCAGCCAGGAGGGCCAACCCTGTCCTGGGGGGCATCAGGCAAAGCATCGCCAGCTGGTCCAGGGAGGGGATTGTCCCTCTCTGCTCTGCACTGGTGTGGCCTCACCTTGAATATTGTGTGCAGTTTTGGGAGCCACAATATAAAAAAAGATATTAAGCCCTTAGAGTGTCCAAAGGGCAACAAAGATGGTGAAGAGCCCTGAGGGGAAGCCATATGAGGAGCAGCTGAGGTCACTTGGTCTGTTCAGCCTGGAGAAGAGGAGACTGAGGGGAGACCTCAATGCAGTCTACAACTTCCTTGTGAGGGGAAGAGGAGGGGCAAGCACTGATCTCTTCTTTGTGGTGACAAGTGACAGGACCCAAGGGAATGGCCTGAAGTTGTGGCAGGGGAGGTTTAGGTTGGATATTACAAAAAGGTTCTTCACACAGAGGATGGTTGGGCACTGGAACAGGCTCCCCAGGGAAGTGGTCACAGTACCAAGCCTGACAGAGTTCAAGAAGCATTTGGATGATACCCTGAGGCACATGGTGTGACTTAGGGATAGTTCTGTGCAGGGACAGGAGTTGAACTTGAGGATTCTGGTGGGTCCCTTCCAACTCAGCATATTCTGTGATTCTGTAATTATTACACAGACAGTGGAAGCTTAGTGTGCAACGAGGAGTTTTTTTTAAACTGTCTTCTAAAAACACACACTGTGTACCCAACTAAACATCCATCAGTGAGAAAAACTGTTTTTAAGAAAAAAACCAAACTGTATTTAGTTTTCACATTCAGTTAGTTTATTTCAAGTATTCAGAAGAGGAGAAGCCTCACAGTCTGTAACAAGACACACTAATTTTGCTCTTCTTTCTGCTGTGAAAACAGAAGTTTGGTAAACAGCTACCACAAATGAAAGATATCCAGATGAGGCTTGTACAACATGGACAACCCTTGCATCTAACGAATCCCATGATCCTCTGAACTGCTGTTGTCAAGATGTATCAGTTAAGGAAAGATTCATCCTATTCAGCACTAACAAGGCAAGGGCCTGCTAAAGACTTAAGCAGTAAATTAGACTCCACACATTGCTGAGAAAAAAGGAAAAAAGAAAACCATAAAAAACCCCAAACCTTTAAAGAACTAAAAGCTTACCTTAGTGCTTTCCTCAGTGTCTCTATACATGCTACTATGATTTTTGGGTTTTTGTTGTCCAGACCCTTTAATAATTCTTCTTGTATCGCCTCCCCTTTCTCGATTTCTATATACATTAGACATATATCTAGACCCAGCTCTTTGGCTCTGGCTTTCGGCTGATTGAACACCTTATTTACAACTCCAGATGCTACTTCTCCGGTTGTCCTGAAAGATGAGAGAGTACTACTTTTGGAACATTTATGTGAATCAAGTGTTCTACACCATTATCCACAGAAAAAAAGCACACACAATAGCAAAACCAGATTAAAACCCAGCAAGTCCTCATACAAAAGAGACTATATCCTAAGCTAATTTTGAAAGTATTAACCTTTTGTAAAGGATAACTTCAACCTCTAGTTTAATCAAAAGAGCTCCTGCAGATCATAATTAACATGTTTCTAATACCAGACTACACCAGTGAATAGTAAACATTCCCAAAAGTGTATTAAAAAACACTAGCTGAGGTTAAAAACTAAATGCCATGTCCTGGAATTGTATATGTTACAGTTAACATACTGCATCAGTACATAAACCTAGCACAGGATTTCACATATACTTCCAAGCTTCAAATAAATTCTATTATTTACAACACTTTTAAATCAAGGACTTTGCAAGGTTGTTAGGTTTTTAAACAACGCTTTGGATTTATTTGGTTTCTTTAAATAAGACTTTTACTCATTTCATCAGGTCACAAAGTCAGTAGACCAAAGCATTAATCTAGCCCGTTAGGTGCTTATATTTCACCCTCAGGATTATGGCCTATTTCATGGGCTCAACAACAGAGAAGTACTAAAAAACATCCATAAAGAAACTGGCAGGTATGAAGATTAATATTGGTTAGGTTGGATGCAACATCACATAACTACATTTTATTTCATGTATGAATTACAAAAATATTCCCCTGAAAAAAAGGCTCCCTGTACAGATAGCCTGCTTTAGTCAAACAGAACAGGGATTCTAGTTCCCAGCACCTACACTACCACATTACTGATTCACTTTCTTTGCCATTTCAGAAATTTTTACTACTGCCATTAGTAGCTTCTTAGAACATTGTAAGCAATTTGTGACAAGTTAATATGCATATGGAGGCCAACTACAAGGAAAGCCTGCCATTTGGCAAATTCTCTGGATTAGAGAGCAAATTCTGCTCTCAACAAGAGATCAGAATTGTTAGTGGCCACTCCACAATTTCTGTGTAGCCTTTCTCAGAGAGCACACTAAACTGTCCTAACAGCCTAACAGCAGCAAGAAAAAGCTACTTACTTCCCAGCTACATGAGCATTTTCAACATAAGCAAGCGCTGCTTCCAGTCCTTTCAGCTGAGCCACTGCATTGGAGTCTGTCACAAATTTCTTTATCAATCCAAGATACTTGGACCATTCGGGACTCTTTTCGTCATCTATCTTCTGGAAGAGCTTAAGGGCTTCTTCATAACCATTTAATCTCGCTTTCCACAGCTGGAAGCAGAAATAGGACATTTAAATGTTGTGCTAGTACAATCTTAACTCAATCTCACAAAGTTCTTCAATCATGTTTGAAAGTATGGTCAGCAATCTGGCATCTGCAGACTTCTTTTCAATGTCTATTTGAATAACATGCAACAGGACAAAATACTTGTTTTTCTCCCACCAAGAATGATCTGGCTAGAGAGATGTCAGTTTTCCCCACTGCTCTTCATTAGTTCTAACAACCACTGATGAGAAGGTGGCAGCCCAACAATAGTTTCAGCTACAGATGAATAATGAGTGTATGAGTGTACTGATCTTTCAGCACACAAGCTTACACCATGTAGAATATAATGCCACTAAAATCTGCTTAATAAAGGTTATTCAGTCTCTGGGTTGGATAGAGCTGATGCAGTTTCAAGAGCTGCTAATACACATGCCATGTGGCTGTCAAGATTACCTAACCATGATGCATTTAGATAGAGAAGCTCTACAGAATCACCACAAGCAGAGATACACAGTAAGCCAAACCCAAAGACAGGATTTCCTACCTTGTGTTCGCATTTCTGGTCAATGGGCAGTTTCATCCACTCACTGTCATCCCCCATTGTAAGTCAGGCTCTCTCTGTAATTACAGTAATTCCTGTGGAGACAGGGACAAGTTAGAAAACAGAAAAATACATGTTGGGTATATACATACTTGTACCTAAAAACCCCACCACACCAACCCACCAAATAAAAAAAAAAAAAAGGACAATTCTGTAGCAAATCTCACTGCTAATATGCAGTCCAAGTTTGTAATTATAGATACACACTACAAAGACCAGACCACTATTTTGTTAGCCCTGTAAAGCTACTAGAAGCCATTAAAGATTAGAGAGCAGTGCAATTTGTAGTATTTCAGATAGCAGAAGTCTCAATCTGTGAAAATTTTAGCATGCAGAATATAACCTCATCTAAGCTCCAGGAAGAATGTACTATGATTAAGGCACTAAACCAAAATGAGTTCTCATCAACACTATAAAACTGACTCTTACTGACACGTGCTTTCAGCAACAGGTGCCATGAATCAGTGTCAAAAAATAATCGGGTGCTAGTGTAAGGACAGTCATTTTAACAACTTTATAAACAGCACAACTGAAACGATCAGTTACTACAAGAAGAACAAAACCCATTTTTGGCCTTAATTCTAATGTAGCCACCATCAGCAACTGTCAACAAGAGATCAGTGTTTTGCCACGTGTAGCGCTCAAATTCTTACTCCTTCGAGTTTAAGTGTTTTCCCCCCTCTCCCTTCTCCTTTTGATTAAAATAAGAATGTTGACCATTAGGGTACAAGAAACGAAATCTCAGGCTTAATGCTCATCTCAGACATATTGTACAATGTAACTTGACTGCTCAAAGAATAATGAGAGAACATGCCTGACACAGGGAGATCAGCAAAATGAAAATAGCAGCAGCAGTAACAAGGGCTCCCAACATTATTTATACAAACAAAATCAAACAGAGAGGATGTAACATTTCAGCACACCAGTCGGAACGCACAGACAAAGACAAAAACTCTATCAACCAGCCAGCATACACAACAATTTATCACTAAAGGCAGATAAGTATACAACACTAGCACAATGCTCCTAACAGAAATTCCTAACAGAAACACTATGCCATCAAAGCTGTATACTTTAGCCTAAAAAGTATTTCACCTGATACTCAGAGGTTTTCTGCAGAAAATTAATCCCTGTAATTGGGAGGGGGGGTAATTTCACTGGTATAAGTTAATATAAGCAAGTTCTCCAAAGCTTTCTGTCAGCCAACAACACCAACGCACAGCTAACCCTATAGCAAAATTAGGCTAGCAACAGCCCACAATAAAAACGGTATTTTATTCCTTCCTGGGATTAGTTATAAGATACATAAAAACATAACAACCCAACCTCCCAATAATTGAAAAAGTAAAACCAAAAGAAACACATAGAACTCCAAAACCCCCACCAGTCACCAATACACACTCACAGCAAAGTACACTGTGCTTACTTTAAATATTTACAAGTTCCTATGGATGTTAATACTGTTCTCACATTAATTGCACAAACCTAATAATTTTCCCAATGGCAATAAAACACAAGTCAATGTCAAAACAGAAGCTGACTACATACATAAACAAAAGCATCCAAGCATTAAGGTTTGCCCTTCTCATTTCCCTTCTCATCACAAACAACAATATGGCTATTTTTTTCTTGACATCAGCATAGTATACTGAAAAGTTCACTTTTAAAGAAAAAAAAAAAAGGCAAAAAAAATTGTTGAGTGGGTCAAAGAATTGTAAACCATTGGGAATGAAAGCATCACTCTGCTCATTACGTAAGAAGCAAAGTACTCAGAAGTAAGGCTGCCTAAAGCCTATTCTACTACTATTTCTGAACCATTATCTTAAAAAATGTTCAACTTCCTAAAAAAAAAAAAAAAAAAAAGCTCTGGGTCATATTCTAGTCACACCATTCTTCCATGTCAGGAATTGACAAGAAAAGGGTCTCTGAATTCAAAGTTACAATGAGAATAAAACTTGAACTTTGAAAGGCCATACCAAAACCAAACAATCACAAAAGGTCAAAAGAGCAAGTGAATTACTACATCTTTTCGCATACAAGTCCCATCAGCCTTTTGCAACAGATCCTGCTTTCAGCTGTTTAAACTCTTTTGAAGTTCTACTGCTTTCATTTTCTCTGCCCAAACCTCTCAATTATTCTCTTATTCCCTCCTTCAGTCTGCTGAGAGGGCTCAAAGTTAAATATAAATCAACAGCCTCTTAATTCAAATTCAATGCATTTTACCTATTAAAACAAACAAAAACTCTAACAAAACCAAACTCACCTTGAAACAAAACAAGAAAAAAGTGCCATCCCATACTCAAAAGCAAGATACTTATGGCAAACATGGAAGTGGGAGTTAAAATAGATCTAGCTCTATGATTGTGATGATTTATCTCCGAAAGCAAAAATGAGATGGCATTCACACGAAAAGGTTTTCAGACAGCCCACCAAGGGAAGAATGCAAGAGTACCCCAGTGTGAACACAGTTACAGCAGCAGAATTCCCTCAAGTTAGTTCTGCAGCTAAGTGCCATCAGATAAGATGCAGCTTTGCCAGCATTAATGGTGTTTCCATTATGACTACCTTCATCTTAATGGACCAGCATAGAAACACCAGAGTACCTCCTCAGTGTGGATGCAGACAACATAAATAACAGTGGTCTCTTCCCAAACTCACACTTTGCCAAGAAGAGTGAATTTTATAGGAAGTTAGGTAATTCTGAATCTTAATCAGAAACTTGGAGGTAATTCAAGCTATTGCCTCTATCTTGTTTTGCTGGAAGAATGCACAAAGAACCAAAATAAGGACCACAGTTATTCTCAAAGAAAACAGGAAGAGGAAAAAACCACTAACACACCTGCCAGCAGCAGAAACACCAGGATAAAACTGGCAACTGTACTAAGACAGTAGATGGAGCAGACTCCCATTTACTCCCTGTTCTTTTAGAAAAGTGTCAGAAGCATGAGTTTCCTACTTCAAAAATAAAAAGAAACACTTATTTCTCTTCAGAAATCTGTTCTGCCATGGAAAAATCCTATTGACAGCAACTACCTTACTACAATCCTCAAATCAGTTCAAACCCTAAAGTTAAGAGCAACTCTATTAAAATGGCTTGTCCATTGCAAGACTGATACTGATTGACAATTATTTTTACCCTTACACATATACAACAGGTCAGTGCCACAAAGTGCAACCTCTTGGTAGTAAACTCTAGTGATACATTACAGAATCTAGAAGAAAAGGGTCTAGGATTTCCCTTCCCAACATCACCACGTACTCAACTTGGAGGAGAACATACATGAGACAGATACGGAAGGGGAGTTGAATGACCATCAAACAGGATTTCACCTATTTTTTTTTTTTCAGTCTGGTCAACTCAGTTGCCCTACTATTTTCAGTGGTTAACATCTACAACGGTTACTTCAATTACAAAATGGGTTAAGTTACCTTCTGTTCAGAATCTGACATCTAAAAATAGTGATAAAATTATACTCCCCCCCATAATTTACAAATCCCTCTAGAACAGACAATTTCTCAGAAAGTATTCCACGGTCACAGAGGGAAAGCTCCTTCTTAAACATCCAGTCTTTCAAGCTTCATCACTGCTCACGCCTGTCCTAATGCCAAGATTTTGTACTGTCTACATCTTGCATTTACCAGAATAAAAGACTCTTGTTTCTCCTTTCAATTAAGTCACTGGGTTCTGTATGGTCACAGAGTATCTCCCATTTGACAAAAAGCTTTTTCTTAAAAGCTTGTTTGCAAAGACATGTAAACCTCAAGTCATTACTTCAACATCCAAATAGCAAGTGGCCTCATTATACAATAACGCAGCTAAATTTTGTTATTACTAGTGAATTTGCAGCAATGAAGTGTTTGACCTACATAGCTTTTTTGTTACCACAACTCAGAACAAACAGATTTAAGTCTTTCAGTGACTATTAATTTTGGTAGAATCCAGGAAACAAGACCTCTGAAGTGACTGAACCACCAAAGTAAGTTTTGTGAGCAACATTTGTCATTAAAGTCATCAACACAACATTTCCAAAAGCAAGTCAGCCAACGAATCTGCAATGGAGATGAATAACAAATCCTCCCTGACAGTTCTCGGCAGGGCAAGTTTTTATATTATGGAGCAGTGAGAAAATGAAGACCATGAGGAAAAGAACAGGATCTTTCAAAAGGAGATCACGTAAAAAGCAGCAAGAGTGTAAAATATTTACAAGGCAGCACAAATGCAGGAATTTCAAATGTAAAAGTGAGAATTACCAACTGAATATAAGTATGTTTGGGAAACAAATTCGTCAACACATTAAAAGATTGTGGGAAAGCGTCAAAACATCAAAGTTTGGATTAACCACGCACTACTCTGAACAGCTCCTACTCAACTTCTAAGTAAATGCTTTTCCTACAGTTTTGAGGGTTGTATAGCATCAACCTTACAACTTATAGTATGGGGTCCCGCCAAGGAAAACCTTTACATCATAAACATTCTGAAGTGTGTTTTCTTTTGAAGCATACATTCATCACCTATTAATATGTTTTACTGTGAAGTGTCAGCTTCCAGACCATTTTCTAGAGAAAATCTAGAACGGTAAACTAGGAAGCCATTTTATGCTAAACAAAAACCAGATATTTATTGATACTGATTGTCTACTTTTCCCTATTCACTTTCAGCTATTGAACATTACTGTTGTACAAGAACATCATCGCATATTTTCATATTTTGAAAGATTCTCAAAAACACCATTCAAGAGTAAGTTCTGAGAAATCAAGACAGGTCTTTTTAAAGGAAAATCTGTTTGAAATGTTCCTATACAGTAGGGCACATACTTGGAGAGTATATAGATGGATGTCACATTTCAGACAAAACTACAGTTCTCTGCCAGTGCAGCTCACAGTTTTCCTAGCAGAAAGAATTTTTATTTGTTTAATGGCAGTTTTGGGTCATATTTGCTCTTTGGCTCTGAAAAGATGAAATTTCACTTTCTGAGAAGTTTAGCCCAGCACATTTTTTTCATTCTGCCAGCCAAATCTTCCCATTAAATACAACATAAAGTAGCTCAGAAAAAAGGTTGAAAATTCAAGTAATCATAACACAGTTTTTTATTTTAAACAACGCCTGGTCACACTAAGTATCCTGAAGAACACACACATCTCAGAATGATAGCCTGATCAGTCAGTGAAACACTGCAACTGTTTTGGTAAATTCCATATAATCAAAAGGAAAATTGAAGTTCAACTAACAATCCTGAATTACTGATACCCTGAAAAGCAGCAGAGTCAGAAGAATGTTCAGTAAGACTGCAAATGTTCCAGGTTCAGTCCACATATTTTTTGATGATAGACAAAAGAATAAGATTACAAAACCCACAGAAGATTATTTCCTGCTTAGGCAATAATTTTATAGATTTTTAAAGGCTGGTATTTTCAATTGATAGATGAACTAGAAGTTGCAAGATGCACAGAATCTTGATGAAAGAACAGCAAGACCTCAGAATAACAACAAAAAAAAAAGGACAAATGCATGCTAAAAAGGAATTTTGCAGGTTGTGGAGTAGATGACAGCTGAGAGAAGCTACTGCTTCAGTAGGAATGAAATGGCATTCAAGAACAAACTGCATTAAATTCTCTCTTCCCTGCTCTAACTTATATGTCCTAACTCAACTCACTGAAATTCTAATAGCACAAAGAGCAAGTTTATGGTAATGTAAATAAACACTTATTTCTCCCGAAAAATAAGTCTCAATACATGGCCTCTGAAAGTAACCAAGACTGTTCCTTTCCATGCACCTAAAAGTGAGAGACAATGTAAAATAAACTGACCTTCTGTTACAGGTAAGAGCAAAAGCAATTTCTAACTGCATAGGTAAGCCTGGAGTGAAGCCAGTCTTACGGAGCAGAGAAGGGCAAAAGGGCAACACACGGACAAGTTTGTGTGCACTGACATAATTCTAAGGATTGCTAGTTGGAGTGAAAGACGTCAGTGGGACCGTGCTTATAAGCTGCAAAGTCCCCCATCCCTCAAGGTGTTTACAAAGCTCAGGCATGAAAAGTCTCATGTGATGTTCTTTAAAAGGACGGCCTGAACTGCTGATGAAGGAAAGCTCCCGCAGAGACATCACCAACCACGAGCTGCCTCCTTCTCCTAGTCAAGCTCCCTCCAGCACGGTTTCTCTCCGCAACTAGCGGCGTCTCCGCCATCCCCAGCATCTTCCCTACACTTCTGCCCGCAGCCCCAGACGCGCCCCCGCAGCCCGGGGATGTTTCCCGTTCCGCGGGTGTGTGGCCGCAGGCCGAGGCCGGGCACGGCGAGCAGGCCGCCCGCCCGCCCGGCATTGTCTCTGCCCGCAGCCCCCGCCCCACGGCCGGGCCTGGCACGGCCCCGCCGCGCACTGTCCGCGGCTCGGCCGGGCCTGGCCGGACACTCACCCTGACAGCTCCGAGCCGGCTCCCGGCGGCAGCGGGCGGGGATCGCGGGCGGGCCGGGCCGAGCCCCTCCCCGCTGCGGGCGGGGCTCGGGGCGCCGCGGCCGCACCTGGGCGGGAGCCGGCCCGTGCCGGGGCCAGACAAAGGCGGGCAGGGCAGGGCAGGGCAGGGCCGGCCCCGCAGCAGCCCCGAGCACATCGCGACCCCTCTTTCCGCCGCCGCGGAGCGGCCCCCGCGGAGCCGGGCGGGCGGCAGCGGGCGCTGCGGAGCCGCCCGCGGCGGGGCCGGGGCTGCCGGCCGGTGACCGTCGTGGCCCGCCAGGCTTACTGTCCTCATGAGTCATACCCCGAACGCCTAGACCCGTCAGAACAATTACTACTCTAACAGAGGGAGCTGCGGTCATACCCGAGCATGCAGCAGACATTATCCCAGGCCACCAATCATCCAGCAATCTCTAACTGAAGTAGGGAGCGGTTCTGAAACCCGACAGGAGGAACAAGGCCTGCCGTGAGGAAGGAGAAACAGTGCCTTCCAAAGGAGGTATGAACGAATAGCCTGGCATCACACCATCCCCGCATTTCATGTTCTGCTGCGAGATGTGTAATGACAGCGCTCCGGTGGAGCTGATTCATCAGCAATCCCTCCAGCCCATCGTCTGACATTTTGCGATGCCGTTTCTACGGTGACAATAGCAACTGAAGAACCTGGTACGGTGGAAATTGGGTCTCACTAGCTTCCGACTCAGAAAAGCATCAAGCCATACGATGCAAGGTTGTATTTCTTCAGCCATCTTTTTAGCTAATGGAAGAAAGAAGCCTCTTCCAGGCACTGCCATCACCAGCCATGCTCTGTATTGAATAATTGTCCAAGTTACTTTTCCTATCACCTCAACCTACCCCCTGTAACAGGGAGGCACAAACATGCACAGCAGCTTCTACTTTTCAACATCTGACATTCACAGCAACCGAGCTGTCATAAGAGGCAACCCCAAAGACCTACACGTGCTCAGGTCAAGAGACTCTTTATTCAAACAAGCTAGAGCAACACTGCCTACTGCAAGGCAGTGTTTAGTTTAAAAATGAGGGTTCAAGGCTTTCCCATGTCACTTCAGAACACCACCCCTATAACATGAACCGCTAGAAGAGTCTACAACAAAACCTCAGCAACACTGTATTAGTATTAGACTACCTTGTCTTGAAACCAACCACTCTGCTACAGATGCAAATAGCTTTAATGCCATCCTACTCTGGCAGAGACTTAACAAATCATTTACATTAAGTAGTTTACAAACAAATTAGCAACACAAGCCTATATGTTTCTTTTATAAACCATCTGCTGGCAGCATGGAACAGATGAGAAATACGAAGGGGAAAAAAGAGAACCTGATGAGCACTGATCATTGCAACACTACAGTGAAATTCAGGTTTTCTGCGCTGACTAAACAGAAACAGAACCATCGCATTTTAACAGACACCAGTATGAGAGTACCAGCCCCACCACGGCAGACCAGGTTTTCAGAAGCAGTTGCCCAGCTTACGTAACTGACCCATCCCAGGGAAAGGATAAGAACCAGTGTGAAAGTTAAGCCCCACCAAATACAAGTTATATGTGTACAAGAATCAGGAATCACATTCCATCACCGTGCATTCCCTTCTTCGTATTACAATATCAAAGGAGAAGCCCCCCATCGGTACAGATCTAAACCGGTCTGAATAAGTCTTAAATTTTCCCTATTTCTAAAATTCAAATTTTATTTCTTTTTGTCAAGTTGTCACATAATTTTCCCTATAGCAGGTCCCCTATTTAATGTTCCCAGCTTTGTGTTTTTGAGAATTATCTTTACTACATCTACAACAATTTATTCAGAACCAGTTTGCAGTACCTGAAGGCCCTTTGGTGTTGATTCTGCTTTAATACACTGCTCTCTCGACGTTGCTTAAAAAGCTTAACCCTATCACAACATCTATAAGTTCAATGTGGGGGGAAGCTACCAAAACAGCAAAGTTTAAAGAAAGGTCAAACCTGATGCAAGAAAATCAAAACAAATTCTACCTTTTGCACAATCAACTGATCTGACAGTGGACACCAAAGAATCAAAGCTATATGGGCACCTTGCACCTATTCTTCTTTCTGAGTTGAGCCCATCTCAAAGTTTTAGTAATAGATTTTTGTAAGTAGCCTTTTAGAGTACTTCAGTATTTGAGACTCACAGCATTTGAAAATACACAGCTTTACACTTTCAAACTAATAGATATGTTCACTGAAAGCCTATAGCAATGCTTTCTGCATTACACATGAAATACATAAGGAAGGTCTCCCATAGCTGGTAACTCAACTACCCAACAACTACCTATCCCCTTCTCACATGCAGAACACAAACAGCACTGCAGTTCAGCAAAAGTAGCAGAAAATGCAACACTAAACACAAAATAAAACAGCAAAAAAGAAAAGCTTCAGAATAATTAGATAGATAATACACATCAAACACAAATCAATAAGGAAACTGTAGAACATGCAACTTTTTTTTATTTTCTTTTTGCAAGAGTCCACGTTTGCTTAAGCTGCACAGCAGTTTCATTCCTCAGCCTCTGCCATGCAAAACTTTGTGTCTCTCACTGGCAGGGGTCTAAATTCAAGAGGAAAACCCTCTGTACATCAACCTGAAAACTACTGCCTCTGGAAGAATCACAAGACTCTCTCTGATTCAGAAATCGAATCAAATGAAATGGGGAAAAGGTGTGTCGGGTAAACATGGGGTCCATATTCCTATCCAGTCCCTCTTTGCAAACACGAGAGGATTCAACAGGAAGCACCTCCTGGCTGGGGGCCCTGGCGATTCAAGGCGTAACACCTACACCCGACAACAGTTGCAGAAACAGAGATGAGTTCGTGATCTTCGTTTTAAGATTACAATTACCCCAGGGAACGTTTACCTTAGAACATTTTAGAGGGGGACCCGATCCCGCACGCAGCCTCGGGGGCCAGAAGGCGCTCGGTCCGCATTTCCCTCGCAGGGCGGTGGGAGGCGGCCGCGCTCGGCTCCCCCTCGGCCCCTGCCCACCGCACCGGCCGCCTCCCCTGCAGGCACCTACCCCCGGCAGCTCTCAGGCCACAACGAGGACAGGACGGCGGCGGCCCGCGGCCCCCATTCGTCCCTCGCTGCGCGGGCGGCCCGAGCGAGCGGCACCCGCTGCGCCCCCGCGGCGCGGCACAGGCCGCGGCCTCCCACCGCCACCAGCCGCGGCCCTCTCCCCGCCGGGCCCCGCGGGCGGGTGCCGGCGCAGCCCGCGGGCCCAAGCCATGCCCGCAGGAGAATGTCCGCGCCGCGGGGACTGCGCCTCCGCCTGGGCCCCGCGAGAGGCGGGGAGGCTCAGGCCCGGCGGCGGAGAGAGGCCTATCCACCCTCCCGCGGGCCCGGGGAGCGGACGGGGCAGGAGCTGGGGCTCCCCCGTGGAAGTGACAGGGCCGGCGAATCTCACCTGGGCCCCGCAGGTCGGGCCGGCGACGGTCCAGCGGCTGCTCGGCGGGGTTTGAAATCGCCAGCACCGCCCGCACCTCCCAGTGTCCGCCGCGCCCATTGGCCGCCGCCGGCCCCTCCCGCGCTCGTGCCCGCGCGCCTCATTGGCCCGTTTGAATCCGGCAGCCGCAGCGCGTGCTCCCCGCGCGCTCCCGACACCGCGGCGCCGCCGGGAGAGCGCGCGCCGCACCGGGGCCACGCTCCGCGGGGAGCGCGCGCGCCGCACCGCGCCGGGGGCGTCCTCGAGCGGCACCAGCCCGGCCCCGCACCCAGCAACCACCGGGACGGGCCGCGGAGAGGCCGCCGTCGGGTCCCCAGTAAGGGCGCGGGGCGGCGGCGGGGCCCGGTGCGCCTAGCGAGAGGCTCTGGTGAGGTCCTGAGGCAGCCGCGTCAGGCCGCCCGACCCTTTGGCCAAGGGCTAAAGCAGCTCGGAGCCGGTTGATTCAGCCTTGGGGAACGTCCCGTTAAAGGGGAACGGCCTTTCTCCTCTTTACTGTGGTCACTGAGTTTGCAAAGCAGTGACTGAAGAGGAGACTGAGAGGGGACCCCATCGATGTCTATCAGTATCTGAAGGTACGGTGTCAAGAGGACGGATCCGGGCTCTTCTCAGTGGTGCCGAGCAACGGGACGGGGCAACGGACAGAAACTGATGCACAGGAAGTTTCAGCTGAACACGAGGAAGGACTATTTTACTGTGTAGGTGACTGTGTACTGGGACAGGTTGCCCGGAGGGGTTGTGGAGCCTCCCTCACCGGAGATATTCTATAACTGCCTAAACACAATCCTGTGCCATGGGCTCTGGGATGACCCTGCTTGAGCAAGGAGGTTGGACCACATGACCCACTGTGGTCCCTTCCAACCTTATCTATTCTGTGAATCCTGTGCTGTTGGGAGTACAGTGTTTTCCCTCCTTTGTTTCTTCACTTCAGCCGAAGAAATTGAAGGAAAAATTCTTAGGGGTAATTGGAATAGAAGACAAGGGACAGCAGAGTGCCATGCACACAACTGCAGTTAATCTTAGAGTGCCTTCTCTCCCCCCACCACGCTGTGTAAGCACCATCAATTTTTTAAAAAGTGAGGTGATTATATTTTTTCATGACCTGACTGAAATCACTTCTGCACTGTGCTTCAACTGTGAAATGAGCAGGAATAGAGCTAAAGTGTTTTAAATGTTTTACATACTTCTTTCATCAAAAAGGGACAGAATGTGTTACAAGATTAGCACCAGTACTGCAGTGTCAGTTATTAGTGGATGTTTCATTCATTACTCAGCCTTTTGCACTATTGAAACTCTTGGTTACAAAAAAATGCAACAGAAGCTTGAACAAAACCCCTTACAGACAGAAAAAACAGCTCTTCTTCAGAGCTTTATTTTCCACTGGGCAGAGCCTTGATACCTCTCTACAGTCCTAATACATTCCAAAAAGAACATCCTCTTCTGCTGTTGCTGTGTTAAAATGGGGGAGGGAGAAAGGGAAAAAAAAAAAAGAAAAAAAGCAAGGCAGGGGCAGAGTGAGAGGTATTATGTGTGTGCAGGAATTTGCAAAAGCGATTGCAGATATTGAGCCCTTCATTCAAAGTCACAGGGGTGACTACAGTGTGTGCTACAATCAGGTTATTCTAAGAACACAGATCTGTTTCTACCTTCTTGCTCCTCTCAAATGAAGCAAAATTGAGGTTCTGTGCAAACAGGTCTGGGAGCTCCTCTTTCAAAGGAGAGTCCAAATAACATGCATGATTCACAACCAAAAGCCAGGCAGAGTGGTTAAGAAAAGCTAAATTTATATTAAATTATCATCAACCCCTAAAATACTGAACACAGTGGTTAAATAACTCCAGAAAGTCCAATGTCTCCAGTGAGTAACGTTAAAACCATTACACAGGAACACACGGAAATCACTGACGTTAGCTCAGGACAGACAGGAGAGAGGTTTGCTTTTTACATAGTAAATCAGTGCTCAAGAGATCATCCTCCAGTAGCCCTTCTACATTCTTTACATCCTAAGTGCAACGAGGGTCTTCTCTTCCCCAGAACAGGAAACCATGATGCAACCCCTAGACAGCATCTCACCGGGGCTGTCTAGGAAAAAGACACTAATTTCTGCCCACCTCGCTGATAGAGGACAGGCTCTGTGACATGTTGTTGCTCCTTTTCACCATAATAATTTGAGGAAGGGAGCAGAGAGCAGTTATGAATGGTTGTTAGGCTGGAGTGTGCAGGGTCCCTCCTAAGAAGCAGCAGAGAATATTGATCAAGGTGGAGATTACAAGCACCATGAGTTGTTGAAAAGACTAACTGTGTTTTTCCTTTCCATTCCACACTTGTGACTCGGACAGCAATTATTTTAACAGGCTGACTGAACCTCAAGTGACAGGTCTGGGCAGATGTTTCCCTTCACCCCTGTCCCACTTCATGATTTTGGTGCATGCTCACTAAAGCTATTGGGGCAAAAAAACCCCCCAAACAACTCATTCCAAAACTCAAAGAAACCCTGCTCTCCTACAAGTCAGAGCCTTCCTCAATCCCCTCACTCCCAGCCCTGATGCCCCTGCCCCTACACATGGTTTCTTTTCAAATCGATTCTTCTGCCTACACTTGAGCCCTCTGGTGGTGTCCCTGCATAAGGTGGCTTAGACGGGCAAGGTCTGTGTCAGATACACACTCCTCTCTCAGTTCCCAGTCGAGTCCACACCTCAATCCAAAAGTGCCTCTGCCCAACGAAATCAATGCTTCCCAGGCTGGAGTCAATCAAATAAATAATTAAATAAAAATCTAATTAAAAAAAAAATAAAAATAAATCCCTCTGGGAATAGGGAAGAATCCCACATTAACACAGGGAAATTTCCAAGCCTTAGCTCCAGTTCATTTTCCACAGGAATATACACCAGTCAGCCCAATGGTGCAGTTATGGACAGAATTTCAAGCCATCTAGCCAGACTGAAGCTGCAACCTTCCCCCTTCTGCAAAGCTACCTCTGCTGTGAAAAGTACAGCCAACCCACTGGCAACTGTTGTGTTTTTCAGGGGTAGCTGGCCTGTTAGTTTATAAACAATGTTAGAGCAGCATAGGATGATTTTCCTTTTTTTTTTTACCAGCTGGAAAAATATCACATGTGAGATGCACCCTCCCTCTATCTCTAAACTATACCCCTACTGTATGTTTTGCTCTCTTTACACCATGGGTGGGAATGTACTTGACCTCTTTCTAAGCGATAAAGAGGTTACAGAGTTTGCAGTGAGAAATTCTTCACTGGAAAGTTCTGCTTCCAAGTATCTGGCTTAACGCTTAATATTTTACCATGATGGTATCCATGTGACTTGAGGGGTTAATATAAATCTCATTTTTGAAGAAGTGTCAAGAGATATTTTCTCTATCTTTTTTCCTTCTCAACAAACAGATGACAAGAGAATATGAAAAGGTGGCAATAGTCCCTGGGAGCATGCAAGCCTCAGCTCCAAATGCTGCTGGGCTGTAGCTGCAAGGGTAGGATGACATTCCCTAGAGGGTAAGGGCCTTGAAGGCCAGAGAACAACTGAAGCTCGTGCAGCTGATGGGAAAAATTACTTGGCAAGGAGAGCTATTTAGTGGTAACAGAAGAATTTAAAGTGCAATTCTATCTGATAAACAACTACTTAAAATGGCCCTTGCAGCTCCCTGATTATTGTCTCCCATTCTAGGTCAAATGGGCTCAGCCTAGTAATAAAGCAGTTCCTAACTATCTGCACTGAGCATTCCCCTCAGACTCAATCTAGGAATTCTCTTGTCCATTATTATGGTAGTCAAAGGTCCTAAAGGCCAAGATAATTGGGACCTTGCAGAATTGGGACTAGTGGGGACCCAGCAGATTTTCATTTTTTATATATCAGTTATGCTAAGTCAAGTAGAATTCAGGTCTTGCTGAGATCCATTTCCTCCCATTATCTCTGTAGAGCTAAGATAAATACCAACCTCTTCTTCCCTCAAGTTCAGCACTCAGACTCCAGTACCCACAGGGAACAGTTCTGAAAGGGCCATTTGCTGACTCTTGTTTTTCCAGAGTAGAAACATGTTTTAACAGGAAAGGGGAAAACGGGAGCAGTGTCCACTGCCAGCAACAGACACAGTGCTCCAATCTGAGCATTTCTTAAAGTTTTTAGTAGCAGATGAAAAAGTAAGCAGTGATGCTCTCACAAGGTGAGTCATGGCAACTGTGGTGACCCTCTTTATGCCATTTAAAAGGTGACCTGATGCTGTGTCAGTGTCCTCTTGAGCCCCAAAGTATACCCCATCTATATCAAGACCTCTCTCAAGTCAGAAACCCCTCAACACCAAGCCTCAAAGAGTGCTGCTAGTGCTGGAATGACTAGAGATACTTTTGTGACCAGGAGCCAGCAATGAGGCAGCTCTGCTCTCTTCATGGGCATTGACCGTGAGCTGGATGGCACCGGACTTGCAGGTTGCCAGGGAACACGAACTCTGAACCAGATTCAGGCCAGGGGAGTCACTGCAAAAGTTAACGTGGCAGCTTCCAGGAAAAGGGAACATATAAATAAACCACAGACAGTGAAAATGAGTCAAAAGGGTCTCTGGGTTCCAACCCACCCATCCTCCCTCTCCAACCACAACAGCACAGCTGCCCAAGCTCCTTGCTGAAAGGCAGTCACAGTCTCAGGGCCCCTTGTGAGAGAGGCTGGTCTCTGTGCCCTTCCTTGCCTAGCAGGCAGAGTCCTGTCTTTTTTGTGCAGATCGGAGGGTAGGGAGGGTCAGAGCGATTTCCAAGTCACTTGCACTTTAGACCTCACTCTCCGTGGAGGGCTTGCGTTGGTGTTTCCAGCCTGTGTCTGGGAGTGAGCCACGCCGTTCAGGAGTGGCTGCTGCTGTGTTCACACTGCTGCATTCAGATTGTTCTTCCTGTAGCAGCTGCTCAGTTTCGGTGTCATCCAGTGAACCAGAACTAGCCTGGATAGAGACCGTGTCTGTCTTCATACAGACGTGGTCCCGGAGGATCCCTCCTCGAGAGCTCCGAATCTGCTTAAGGTCATCCCACTCGGAATCATCACTGGATAAAAGGCATATCCCCTCCACAATCTTGATCTTCTCCTT